CTTCCTTTTGAAAAGGCCCCTCAAGGAGAAAAAAAGAAAAGAAAAACCCCACCTATGATAAGCCTCCTAATTCCCACCCAAAACCATATAGGAATATATATCTACACTGCCATTTGAGAGAGAGAGAGAGAGAGAGAGTGAATGATGGGATTGCACTCAAATATGCTCTTGACTGTCTTTCTATTAGTTTTGACCAAACAATAATACAAGCAAGAATTGTTTACTAATAAGAAAACTTATTTGACCCTCAATTAGGAAAGCTAATAAAGATTAATTCTTACATATTACAAACTACTTATATGGAAAGATGTTTAAGCTCAGGTGCCAATATTGTATCAGCCTATCAGGCACACTTGATCTGCTAATAATAAACCCAAACTAGTCAGTCATACACTTTCACATATTACACACAGCCTTCTCATGTTATAAGAACTTTTAACATGCCATTTCTAATTCATTTCCAAACATCCAATATAGTTAGTTCATTACACAAATGTTCAAAGACATGGATTTGGCTGTGTAGGTTTCCCTTGCTTGCCAAAACAGTTGTTAGGGTACAATGTTTGAGGTAATTTTTTGTAGGTAATTTTGTCTAGAGAGAGAGAGAGAGATAGAGAGAGAGAGGGGCGTTCCCATCCATCCCCCACACAAAAGGTGGTGGCAAAAAAGTTCTTTTTGTACACACTGCGATGATGGCGATGATGATGCCTGCAATCTCCAACAGCAGCAGCAGCAACAACAATACTACCAAAAAAACCAACACAAATTCTTCCTCTCTGTCTCTCTCTCTCTCTCTCTCTTCACCATACCTCTCCTATCTCCTCCTCTCTGTTATTTACACTCTTAACTTAAGCATGGTTAATATCTCTATCTGTTCCATCACATCGATCCCATGCAATTATGTTGAAAACCCATGAAAGCTAAGACCTTGAAAGAGCCATGGACAACAAGTGTGGGTGCTGGGCTGTCCTCAAACGCGGCGTTAGTGGTACCTGCAAGTCCTCTGCTTCCAAAGACTCTGTTAACACTATCCCTCGCACTAGTCTTGTTTATGATGCAGGTATATATTATATAGCTTGTGTTTTCATTCTGCAACTTTCATTATTTATGTGTTTTCTCAAAATCTTAGAATCTTATAGATTGATCTAATTATCTCATAAATGCGCCATTTGAATCTTCTTATGGGTGTGTTCTATCTTCAATTTCTCGCAGACTTTTGATACGACGCGCTCTATCTATCTATCTCTGTGAATTTTTCAAGCAAATCAAAACAGCTTCAGTGGTTTTTTAAAAAAATCCGGGGGTGATTCTATACTCAGCTTTCCCCTGTTTTCTCAACAACGTTTCAAAATTTTGTTGTTCAGAACTGTCTCTGCAGTTTTATTTGAATTGAGAAATCACGATGTAGTGGTAATTTATACTCCAGATCTCGAACTTGGTTTCTGCTAGTTTCTCTCCAAGATCTCTATCCTGACCTTTATTCACCAAAATTTGCAATAAATTTTTTTTTTGGTTTTAGTCAAACTTAGTGGCCACTGAAGACTATGAGAGTGATTTATACCTGGTTCCTTCTCGTGGATGCATAAATTTTTTTCCTTGATTGATGGGAAACCGCAGTGTTAGTCCTTATAAATGTGACACGGTCTTCATGCCACTTATCTGATTAATATCACAAACATCTGAAAATTTTGAGTTTCCTGCCCTTTAGTTAACTGATCTTTTAGCTCAATTTGGTTGCATAAGTTCAGTCCTGCTGGAATGTTGGTTGAATTTTTCAGTATCTGTGCAAGTTGTATCTTGATGTTCTATTTCAAAATGTCAAACAAAGCATTAGAAAGACTTGTGATTGAAGAATTGTTGTTAAGGCTCATTCCTTCATTGCAGCAACGGAGACCAGATATCTTAACGCTAGCAATAGGGACCTCCTGCCCCCTAATGAAGCCCAATTATCCTCTGATACTCCCAATCCACCACCATCAGATGAGAAGCCTACTCGCCAGTTGCTCCAATTTACTTTTCAGGAGCTCAAATCTGCAACCGGGAACTTCAGACCGGATAGCATTCTAGGCGAAGGTGGATTTGGATACGTCTTCAAAGGGTGGATAGAGGAAAATGGAACAGCACCAGCAAAACCTGGATCAGGGATTACAGTAGCAGTTAAAAGCTTAAAGCCAGATGGTCTCCAAGGCCATAGAGAATGGGTGGTTAGTAGAATATCTGCCTTGGGTTAGTAGATTATTGCTGATAAAGGATTGTCCTTGAGGTACTGAAAAGTTGGAAGGTGACATGTGACAATTTCTTTGATGCAGGCCGAAGTTGACTTTCTGGGACAGCTCCACCACCCTAATCTTGTAAAGCTTATTGGATATTGCATTGAAGATGATCAAAGGCTGCTTGTTTATGAGTTTATGACCCGCGGGAGTCTTGAAAATCATCTTTTCAGAAGTGAGTGAAATGTTTTGTTGTCTGTTCTTCCTTGTCATCTTTGTTAAATCTCTTGTAATGTGGTTCATTTTGGATTCTCCATCAAAACACCTTCTAGGCATAATTAGTTCCTAACTTTAGTCGGAAAATTTTGTCTTGCCGGTAGTGTAATATCACAATGAATTTCAGTTTCCTGTTAGTAGGCTGCTGTTTCCCCACTGAGTATCTGCTTTCCCCATCTTTAGTGCCTGTATTCTCTCTAATATTAATTATTTAATACTGTATACTATGATATGGATGCTGATTCTGATTGTTCAAAATGTTTGAAGGGACTATACCTCTGCCATGGTCCAATAGGATTAAGATTGCACTTGGTGCGGCAAAAGGATTGGCCTTTCTCCATAATGGTCCAGAACCAGTCATCTATAGAGATTTTAAGACATCCAACATTTTGCTTGATTCGGTATATACCTTAATACTGTTGATTAACCATGTTGAGTGTTTTGCTTAAAGGATTCAACAAATTTGTTTTTCTCTATAGGAATACAATGCAAAGCTATCAGATTTTGGTTTGGCGAAAGCCGGGCCTCAGGGAGACAAAACACATGTTTCTACCAGGGTTGTTGGAACGTATGGCTATGCTGCTCCAGAGTATGTGATGACAGGTAAGAAAGTCATAGCAGATAGTTCAAAGTAATTTGAGTCTGTTCAAACTTTCACATACAGTATAAGTCTTCTGTGAGAATTAGAAGTTCAGGAGACTAGCTGAAGATAGCATGTACGTTTAATGTTTACATTGGAAGAAAAACAAGTTGAACCGTATGAACAGAGCACTAGGAAAATTAAGAACATCATAATGATCTTCAGCTATCTGAACTTCTTTTCTTAATTAATCCTATTGGCCCAATTGTGATTCGCCTTTTTGGATTTACAACCTTATTAACCCAAGGATCTTCATGTTGAATTTCTTGTTCCAAAAACAATTTGAGATCTCACTAGTACGATTGTTGTTTCCTTCATTTTTCCAGGACACTTGACATCTAAAAGTGATGTTTACAGCTTCGGCGTAGTTTTACTTGAGATTTTAACAGGAAGAAGATCGATGGACAAGAAACGCCCTAGCGGAGAACAAAACCTTGTGGCCTGGGCTCGGCCACATTTAGCTGACAAGCGAAAGCTTTCCCTTCTAGTGGATCCACGCTTGGAATTGAATTACTCCATTAAAGGGGTACAGAAAGTCTCACAATTGGCTTACAACTGCCTTAGCAGGGACCCAAAATCCCGGCCTACAATGGATGAAGTAGTGAGGGTTCTTACTCCATTGCAAGATCTTAATGACCTGGCCATCTTATCTCATCACTCTCGTTTATCTCAACAAGGAAGGCGCAAGAAGAAACCTGATGGAGCTCACCAGCTCACCTACAGCCAATCTAAAAGCATAAGAGATTCTCCGTTGAATACTGGCAAGCAGCAACGTAGGTGATGGGCGGTCAACCCCTTTCCTTGACTGACCCAACAAAGGTCCTGCCTTTGCTAAATGGGTTGTGTGAGGACAGTTTTCTTGTGCTTGTATAACTTTGGGGTGTATGAGTTTTTTCAGAGCCAAAGGGACAATGGAAGAGGCTATGAAAGATGAATGATATGAGATCCTTTTCCTTTGAAGTACCCTTGCATTAGAGATCAGCTAACCCATCAATATTTGGGAACCAATATAATCCTCATTCGTCATGGTTTGCCTATGTTTCAGTTGAGATATATATATTGATGATATCTTGTAATTAGATAAACCTCTCATTTCTCTAAGATTGTTATTTTCTGCAGCTAATGTCAGTCACTTTGAGTTTATATTTAAAGCTGCATGCACTTTCCTTTTACATCTTTCCAGTTCTGCAGATTTTGCTGTTAATTACATGTACAAATAAGTTAACATGCTCTCTAAATTTTGCTATTCAGTGTGAACCGAATAATTAAATCAGTAATGAAAAACCTTTAGGTCATACCTAAAAGATAAGCTAGCTACCAGCATCATGTATCAGCATGTTTCCTGCAAAAAATCACTACTTTCCAGAGTCCACAAATTCAGATGCAAAGGCGCATGTCTTTATTCTGCGCGCATAAATTTCCATGACGTGAGCATTTTGCAAGCTGGCTGGTTTTGATATCTCTCCTTCTTCCTACCCTACATTTATTTAACCAAAAAATAAAATCGTATCTGCCTTAAACTTATTCCACACACACATATACAATACAAATGGGCACGTAGAAAGGGCATACAGTACGTACTGAAGCATTCCTTTTGGTTACCAAAACTAATATGCTTGCCATCCGCAAAAGGAAAAAATGGTATGGTTCATCTTCAAATTTCTTGTAAGGTTTATTATCCCATCAACCGCAATCTACAAACTCTGGAGTTTCATGATGTTAGTTAAATTTTTCAAGAAAGATGAGGGCAGAACAGGATCGTATTCGAATTCAGTGCAAGTTGAGTTCTGTATATTTTCCAGCTCTTAATTAAATTTTTCTTTGAGTTGCAGTACTATTTTCATTCATGCGCGGGCATTAATCAAATTTTCATCTATAAACAAGAAAAGAAAAGGAACAAATGGCATAAAAATAGATGGACCAAGTCGAACGTACATGTACATTAGATCTACGTCCAATTAGCTAGCTATACACAAAAAAGAAAAATGTATCGTAGTCCAAGTTAATGAGTTCTGCAGTGAGTCCGAACTCATGGCTAACTATACAATTATGCAGAGTAAGACATTTAGATATCCTCCTCTCATCAACATGTTTGATCGCCTACCTACCCTTCTATAAGTCTCCTAATTAAATTTCCATGGCATCGTTGGTGCTTGAAACATTTATCGATTTCGATTTTGGTCACAATCGAACCATGTTATTTCAACAATTTACAATGTTCCTGTGAATCTACTGCACCTATAAACAACACAATGACTAACCGAAAAAAAAAGAAAAAAAGAATGAAGGGATATCAGATTTGTCATCTGTGGAAGCATTCGTGTCCACAAGCCTAATACTGCATGGCAATTCATCACGTGTAATGATTGTTCATCACAAGCTGTTCATAGGCAGGGCTGTCATATATCCTTTTCCTCCACAACCCTATTCGTCTCTTTTCCCTGCCCTCATACTTAATTGAAACATGCCGCACAAAACATATCTGTACATTTAATCACAACAATACGATCATTAAGCCACTAAATAGATATATAAATTATAATTAAGATGACAAAAAATAAAATAGATCTCAACCTGATCGCCATCCTTGATTCCAAAAAGTCGGATATATGCCTTATAATCGAGAAGCTTCTGGCCTTGATAACATAAGCAAAAATGACCCCACACATGTGACCTGTGATCAGAAATTTGAATTGTTAGTTTTTATGAAGCTGTGCAACATGTAGCAAATCTAATTACTAATTTCAAAACATAAACCCAAATCCATGCACATCGTATACGTGCGTACCATGAAATCATTTCATCTATTGGTGACTGATTAAAAACATCCTTCACTGCCTCTTTAAGTTCGGCCACCGTCGCCGTCTTCGGAACTTCCACCTCTACATCCATTAAAAAGAAGAAGATTAATTACAATAAATAAATCATGAGCACGACTCAATCAAACATCTACCAAAGCTAGAGCCGTCCAATTTGATAACGAAGAGCTTAAGGGGCTGTTGAGGCAGCTTTTGGTAGACATGATTCTTTCCAACGCTGCAGCTGAGCAGCCGTCCAGGGGAAATTGATGCCGGAACACATAGGGTGCAGGCGGAGACGTTGGTCAACTCCGGTTCCCAAGTACCCACCTCCATTTCATACGAACACAAAATTATCCAACAAGAAATCTAAATTCCTCGGCCTGGGATGAGAAGTGAAGTACCCTATAAACGAAATGGATGGTTCTCCTCCGATGAATGCACTTGCAAGCTAGTTACAAAACAAATAAATAAATCTGTTGGTAGGCTTTGATGGAGTTAGCTAAGAGAAATATGAGAAACCAAAGCTGTTTGTAACGCGTCTGAGTGGAATGAAGGCTCAGGATATTTCAGAATATATAGGGAGGGTGGTAAATCAATCAATTTCTAAAGTCCCTACAGACTAGGCTATATTTTTGGTCCACAGAGTCTTAAAAAAACCAATTCCAAGGGATTGGTTTAAAGGTCAAAGGTTTACCCTAAAAACTAACAATATGGGTGGGGGTGGTTGCATATGCCAAACTGATCATGGCTGGCCAAATGCTCTAATGAAAAATGAAAGCGGTTAGGTTACAGATCTAAGAAGCTGTGCAGCACAACAAGTAGCATCGGGTTACAAACAGAAACGTCAAAAACAGAACGAAGCTCAACTTATGAAAACCGACACCGACCAGAACTATAGCCTTCTACCGAATAATTTTTACATATTATTTGATGATTCAATAACTTTCCTGTCGTCTTTTTTTTTCTTTGCTACCCGTGGACGACATGAAGTCCCACTTCTTCTCATTACGCTTATTTTGTCTTCAAATACAGATAATATTTTTAAATCTGTGAGTTGAGTTGGTCGTCACACCTCTATAAGAGATGTAATCAAACATTAACTTAATTTATTGGACTTTTGATTTATATGTTAATGCGTTCAACCTGATCAACAATTCATCTATGAAAAGTAAAAGAGTTGACTTGTTTGACTGACTATTAATTGTCAAAGAATACAAGTTAACAGAAATGTACATGAAGGGAAAGTCATTAAAGTGTCTCTCCATCGATCACAAGAAATTACATGAGAGAGAGAGAGAGAGAGAGAGAGAGAGATTGCATATCTGTGATCGATCTCTAGCTAGCTAGATCGAGAGGACTGCTTGGAATCAGAAATGAAGTATAGCATGCAGCATCTCTGCTGGGGATCACAAAGGAAGAAAGAAGAAGTAATTATACTGCACATATCTTACATTAGAAAGTGCACATTTGATCAAAAGTTCGAATTAACCTGTTGTGCACATTTGATCAGAAATTAACATTAAACTAACACATATGCAATATCATCATGCGACAAGTCACTTAATTAAGAACATATGTAGATGAGGTTAGAGAGAGGAAATCAATTGATCACGATGAAGAAGAAGAAGAAGAAGCAACAATTAGTTGAGAAAGTGATATTGGCGCGGCTCAATCTGAGATCAATTTACGGCAGCAGGCATGTGTAAATCTGTCTTCGGATTGAACCTCACCAACATCGCTTTCTCTTTTGCTTCCCCAACGTGCATATCGATCCATCAAATGATCTTTCTTATAATTTTTTTACATAAAAAAAAACAGCTAAGCAATAAAGCAGATGTTCTTTCATTTCACCGTGACCCCGAAAACACGTCAAGATGTTCAAAACATGTGGGCTAGCTAAGGAGTTTGTGGCGATCTTTTTGCCTTTTAAGCAGGGCTGCTGCCACTTACCTAAGAAAAGGAGCAAAAGTACTTGAATAAAGAATACCAAATATGGGCCCATGTCCCTCGAACCAAATTATAATATAATTACAAAAGAACAAAAGTGATCATCGGATAATATAGTTTTTAGGTAAATATCCTTGTATAGAAATTAAATTAAGGTGGCTGATAGGTTGGTGAAGTGGAAGGTCAAGGTATAGTGGATTGTAGGTGTGGAATTGAGCCAGTAGTGGGTCTGTTGGATTTCAAAATATAACCAAATGGCACCATCGATTCAAATGCATAGGGCAATAACATTTTTATACTCCGCTATCGGAATTAAGTATATAATCAAGGGATAAACAAAAAATCAATAGTAATTGGAGTGGGATTTTAGAATCATGCATGATACAAACATTACATGCAGCAATAGAAAACAACCTAATATGCAGAGTTTCTACAAGGATTCAACCTAAGAGGTTCAGAAATAAAGAGCTCATGGAAAGAGATATGAACGTATGGCACACAAGGATGAGGAAGGGAAAAACAAGTGATATTTGTGAGAGAGAGCTGAGAGAGTGAGGAGTGAGGAGGGAAGGGGTGGAGAGGCAGAGAATGTATACTGGTAGGTTTTGCCTCGGGATGGGAAGGGATGAAGAAGAAGAAGGTGAGTGGAATGATGTCAATGGGGAGCAACACTTACTTTAGGGTTTGTCATGCTTAGTTTGTACTCAAATAAATCAAACACCTTCCCCTGCGCATGCACCTGAAAATATTCTCCCACCAAAAAACCCAAACAACTCCTTTTGATTGTGCCTCTCTTTCTACTAATTTTATTAATATTTTAGCCCCCACCCTTTTCAATTTTGTATGCCATGCTTGCAATATGTGATTAATTAATTGACCTAAGAATAAGATGCTTGGCTTATATGTAATAATAATATTGTACGCCATGTATATAATAATAATAAATAAAACAAACCTTTTTTCTTTTTCTTTCTTTCCATACAAACCGATCGATACCAAAATGTGGGTCGCCCTTGAATCCACATATATATATATATATATATCAGCATCATCAAATGGTGAACAGAAAGTAGGATGAAAAAGATAAGGTGTTAAGTGGGTTAAAGTAGCAGTATATAGACCTCCGATCTTATTATGCAAACTGTGTCAAGCTAACCTAATTAGTGAATGTAACCAAAAAAGATGGGTCAAAAGAGAAGATGATGTGTGCAGCCAGTCTTCACACACAGAGAGAGAGAGAAGGGGAATCTTGGGAACATGAGTGCAGAATGTCAGCGAAGGGATTTTGTCTAAAAAGAATAAGTTTTTGGAAGGGTAAAGAAGAAGTACGTACAAAGTTGCTATATCTTTCACACACACAACACAAATGCACACTTAGTTTAGAGAGAGAGAGAGAGAGACACACGTACACAAAAACAAAGACACAAACAGACACAGTTTTGTTTAATTAGCATGCAAGCAATTACACACTTAGAGAGAGAGAGAGAGAGAGAGAGAGAGAGAGAGAAGCAGCAAAAAATAGGCGAAATAGGCAACAACCCTGAGCGGAGACACCGGCGCTAAAGAAGCCCTGCCTTGGGCCTCCACTGGGGGACACTTTCCTTGGTTTTGTCTACCCTTTCCCCCCTTCACCTTCCCATACTTAATTATTTGCTTCTCTTTTTTTCAAGGGCCATCCATCCTTTGCCTTTCTCTTCTTCTCTTTGCAGATTTTGGGAAGTGCAAAAGAACCCTCCTCCTCTCACCCCCCACCCTTTTATTTAATTAATTAAAACTCTCTCAAAA